TCTCTCTCTCTTTCTGTACGTGTACTGTGTTTCTTTTTCTCTCTAGCCTGATGGTTCTGTGTCGTTTAGTCTCGTTTAATTTCATATAGGTCCCGAGTGAACTTCTGTGAACCGAATCGATTGGAATCGAAAGAAATGGCGAGCAAACTGTGGCTTGGCAATTTTTTGTTACAAGAATTTACGAGATTTATCGACTCTTCTCTGTTAGAGCATTAGAATATTTTCAGTGTAGAATGTTGATTAAATCTTCTACGATTTTAGTGTGCTGTGTCTGGGAATATGAACAAGTGAAATATTCCATAATTCAAAAATCTTGTAACTTGAATACTTTTTGCTTCTTCGATTTTATGATTAGTCTAAATCCATGGTTCAAATAATTTACAATGTGAATATTCTACAAAATATTCGAATATCTTGTACTTTTAACACCTTGCAATATTAGTAGCCCATACAGTCCTTAGTTGGAATATTTCATATAGATACAATTTCCTATATTTAGTTCAAATAGATATTCTTCTCGTTCCAAGTTCTGCTTGAAAAAATTCTGGCTCGTGAGTAATTTTATCCCCGCTAAAGTTAAGCTCCCAAATTATTTTTAAGCCTGGAAACGCGGTCGTTCCGCAATCGTATCGATTGATCCTTGGATAAGGTTCTTTTGTCGCCAGAGAATAATGGATCATCGGGGAAGGAATCGAGACCCAAGGACGATATGTTCGAGGAATACTCGTGTCTAGTAGCTTATCTGACGTTTCGAAATGCATGTTTCCTGAGGATGATGTTCCATGGAAATAGTTGTACCGAGGCGTCTTGGCAAGATATTTTACTGTTTCGTGTAAAACGTGAGTTTAAACAGATGTAGGAAAATGGTAAACGGGTTAACGAAACGTGCATTTTCTTTCTTTTCTCTTTTTAATAGAAATATTCTGCGTGTGTATTTCTACTTAAATGGGAAAACATGATAAATCACATTTTTCGTCTTTTGTAGAGGAGCAATTTTAAGGTGCAAAATTTTTAAGTGATTCCTTAAGTTGGGAAGTTAGTTTTGAGTAAAGTAGCGACTCCTTAAGTCAGTTCTGATCAAATTCTCAAGATTTCTTGAGATTAAAATTTTCAAGGATGATTCCAAAACTGTTTTTATTTAGATTTCGGATTAAATAGGTATTGTCGTAATATTAGTTATGCTCTTGTTTTCTTTTCTTTCTCCTTTTATAAAACTTTGTGGATTTCTCAGTAATATATACACCTAAATACCACGAAAATCAGAAAATAAACAAAAATGGACTTATCGTGTATTTCTCCTGTGATATTCAGTTGCAAAATCTCTTTTCTTAAATATTTAGATATTCAGACAGAAAATAATTGATTACGAAAAGAATTTTAATAAATTGCGATTTTGATTTCTGTGATTTGGAATGAATTGAATTGTTGAATTTGATTGGAGAATTGAGTTTTTTCTCTTGTGGCTGTCATGTACAAATTGACCAGCCTGATGAAAGATCGCGTGACGCTTCTGATCGCTCATCAAACTCGAAAGTCGAAATATATATGATGAAAATAAAATGTGAATGACAGAGGCGATCTTAGCTTTGAAAAAAGAAAAGAAATAGTTTATTAGGTCGCCCAGTGACTATTTTAATTAATTATTATAGAATTATCAAGACCATTGAATTATTATCCAGGCTTTGAGATTTGTGTTTGAGATAATTCTCAGCTACAATATATTCAAGTTTCCGTGAATTTGTGTTTGTAGCAATGCTGTTGAAATATTTATAATTAAATACAAGTATGCTAATTTAACGCGTGTCCTGGATTTTCTATTTCTGTAACCGTGAAATTTTCATTGGCACTTATTTTGTATTCTGTGAAATGGATATGACGTAGTAATTGTATAATTATCATGTTTTACGAAAAGGTGTAGAATCTCAAACATTTAATAATACAATTTTGTCAAATATTATCAGTATTCGCTAAAACGTTTAAATAAATTTTTCTGACTTTTCGATATAAGATTTTTATGCAAAAGAACTTATATATATCCGCCTATAGAAAACAAAATATTATCACAGATTTCTTCTTTTGAATGTCGCACGATACTTGTTAAAGCTGCTTCTTCCCTCCGCGAAAGCACAGGTGTTAACAGCGAATCGTCAAGTTTACGTTGTCAACAATTCGGCAGATTACAAGCAGAAACACGGCGTAGAGCTGATCGCGATTCGTTGTACCAACAAATTCGTTTGAAATAAAAACAGATCTTTCAGATTTTACTGCGTGAAAAATCGGAATTGGCAGCCAGCACTGGCAGCGAATATGAATTTTTCAAATGACCTGCTTTTCCGCTTAAAACTTTATTTTCCTCTGAATTCGTGACTCTGTACGTGCGACTGTTTTTGCGCCTAAAATTTTAATTCACATCCGTGCTAAACAGTGTCGTGAAATTTCCATTTATATGCGAAAATACAAATTCACCGAGATTAAATTCAAACTTAAGATTTCAGTTAAAATTCAAATTCGAATTGTTAGAACTTTGGAGTTAAAGTTAAATATCCTTCAACGAAGTAATCCTCATGCGACGGATCAGATCTACTGGCGTCTGTGTTTCTCACATTTCTGCGACAGAGAAATGGAAAAAGCTTATCGAACTTCAGCAGCAAAAGCATCGTCGAAAATCGAGCAATTTCACGGCTACAATTGCCGCGACATTTTCATACACGTGCAAGCATTGGTCGAAGTGTACAATAAACGTGAACGCAATTGATTCGCGGACGAAGCTTGCGCAACCATCGCGAAACGTCATCGAACCTCGATCACACTCGAAGCGCAACAAGCAAAACGAGCTACTTTCGCACGTTTAAAATACACAACAAACGCGTGGGAGTGAAAACAATTAAACGATAGAAAAAAAAAAAGAAAGGAAAATTGCATTGAAAAGCGGCGGTGCACGCTAACGAAAATTGAACGTGCTCAACGAGAGGATCCTCTCGTTTTGTAAGTTGATCAATGACAGGCGAGAAAATAAATAAAACACTAGAATCGACAGGGTTTGTTTTGTGCGTGGACTAATTAGTCGTTGCATGAACTCTGTCTGTTTCTACGAGAACAATTCGTGTAATAAACATGATTTTTAATATGCTGGAAGATTAATGAGAAAATTGGTATTTACTATTGGTTGTTGTTGTACATTTGGAGGAGAGAGAAGTTTTGTAAAAATTGTGGCAAATATTGCGCTTACTAATTAGAGAATCCTGACAAGTTGTTCTGATAAAAACAAAAATAAAATAAGATATACAGTGACTCTTACTAATATTCGGACACTCTTTAGAACAGTGTAATTCTTTTTAAATTGGATCAAACGACTTGAGTGTTTTCGAGAAGTTAGAAGGATTAGTATACTGATGATAGAAAATATTGCAATTTGTAAAGGTCACTGTTTACAACTTTTTCACCCGAGCTTCTAACGAAAATTTAAAACATACGTTTTGTAGATTTATGCCAATTACACGCATGCTGAAAATTTCATGGAAATCGGTAGATGGAGAAACAAGCGACAGGCATCGAAAGATGTAGGAATCTTCAGATTTATTGCAATTATAGGCCGAACGTCGTGAAATAGTGCGATTTTCACAATCTTCAACGATTTGTAGTTCGTAGTAACATTAACCGATTTCGATGAAATTTTCAGCATGCGTATAATTGGCCTAAATCTGCAAAACGTATTTTTTAAATTTTCATTACGGGCTCGGATAAAAAAGTTGTCGAATGTGACCTTTACAATTTTCTTCACGATTCCCACAAATTGCAATTTTTTCAACAAATTTCATACGCGTCATCTAGTATACTAATCCTTTTAACTTCTCAAAAAAAACTCAAGTCGTTAAGTCCAATTTTAAAAGAAGTTATACTGTTCTAAAGAGTGTCCGAATATTAGTAAGTCACCGTATCTAGAGTGTTATCAAATTGCAATACTGAATCATTCAATCAAATATAGTTCTATGATGAAGAAATTTTCCAACGTTACACTAACATCTACACACTTATATTTATCACAACAGAAATAAAAGTAAAATACACGGTGACCCATTTTAGTTTGTAAATATTTAGATTTCGGAAAGTACGTTGAATTGGAAAAGTTGCTTCTGGGAGATTAAAGGAGGAGTACTCTTGGGGAATACTAAAGTGTGTAGGGATAAATTCACTTAGTGGCATTCCGGTGATTTGAAGGACAGTTGGATATTTTTTTAATGACACATAGTATCTATAATTCAACGTAGTTTCCGAAATATTACCATTTATATGTTAAGAATGAGTCACGTAAAGGATAAACGTAAAAACCAAAATAGTGTCGTTGAACATTACTAGATTGCAACACTAAATCGTGGAAAAAGAATGCAAGTCTAAACATAATTGAAAATTTCACACAAAAAGAGAGCTGTAAGTGTCATTTCAGAAAAGAAACTTTTTCTATAAAAAAAAAAAAAAAATGAACGTGTCAATATCAGTAAATACGAATGGAAGATTGCATAAATTAGTGGATGGCACAGCTGAATATTTATCGCTAAATTTAGAAACGTAAAGTATTGCGGTACATGTAAATAGTAAGTTTCGATCTTAATAAATAACATTTTGGTAACTAAAAAATTGTTTCCCTGAAATTTTTATTTTTGTGATACATACAGCCTTTTTTATGTCCATTATTCAATTCTTTGATCAAAAAATTCTCTTTGCATGTGTATTTTCCATAGCTTAAATTCATTTAACATTACACGATGTATTTGAACAACCAATAAACCAACATCCGACAGAATTCTTGCAACAATTCTCTAATATACAACGTCAAAGATACTTTCTATCAGCTAGAAAATACACGAAAGACACAAATTGGTAATTAATCGACGACAACGGGGGTGAAATGTGAGAGAATTCGGGATAATAGGGAAGGGTAGAGTGGGGGAGGGGTGGGGGGAAGGTGTACATTGATATTCCTGGTCGTGGCGAGGTCTCACCAGGTGCACCAGAGACTGGACGAGAAGACGGACAGGATTTCCGGCGGCTTGAATGACCTCAACCGCCCGCTCGTGTGTGCTGTGTCGCAGATCCACGCCATCGACCTCGATTATTCGATCACCGATCTGAAAGCAAACGGGAACAGGGGGTCGCGTATTCAATCTTTTTTTATTTATCTTTAGAGTTTTAAATTCACCGGAAGTCCCTTTCTTCCATTTCTTTTCTCTATTTCACGACTCGTTAATTCCCTCGAGGATATTTAAATTACGTATCGATTACTTGGTGTTTAAACAAAACTTTAATGAGAAAAGACAGGAAATGTTTCGGAGAAAAAAAGCATACGTATAGTTGGCAATTAGAATGATAACATTTATAATTAGATTTCAGTGTAATGTTACGGCATATGAAATAACTTTAATGTTAAAGGTGAGACAGCTGGAACATGATATTCTGCTTGATATAGGGCAGCAAAGAGCGAAGGTTTATTGTTCTTCAACCAGTTTTCAGACATCGTTATGGGGTTAGCAGAGAAAGTTCGTTTGACTCATGAGGTGAATTAGGAATAGATTTGTTGACCTTTTAATTTTACACCGTACCTGGTATAATTCAGTTTTGGTGAAATTATTCTTTGATTTTAGTATAAACTTCCTTGCTACAAATAAAGTGTAAACAAAAAAATAAGCAAATTGTTCAAACATTAAATCAAGATCCACTTAGTTGAATTAAATATTATGTAATATTTAATGTTATTTAGTACCATTATTCAGTATTACTTGTTAAATACTACATAATTTATACATATTATTACATTAAATATACCCACTTAGTCAGGGCTGAATTTAGAAATGCTGAGGCCCTAAGCTATACATAACCCAGAGGCCCCCTACTGTTTTAAATTACATCAGCTGGTCTCAGAAAAATTTAAAATATTTTTAATATATGAAAATGTATTGTCTTTTAATTTTTATTAAAAAAAGTAATAAAGGATGTGTTTACAAAATCACAGAAATAATTATATAATTAAAGGGTTTTAAAAACGACAAATCAGGCTCATAGAACAGAAAGTTTTAAATTAAAATAGGAAAATAAAAGGTAAAAATTAAATTAATGTAACAACATAATTGGCAGTACATGAAAAATTAATCTTATTGGGTAGATACCCTTTGAAGTTAGCCGACATTTTGAAAACTCTCAAATAAATGCTTTTGAAAAAAAAAGAAGACAAAATATCTCAATCACATTTCCAATGCGCCAAAATTATTTTAATGTTATATTTTGTATATTCAAAATTATTTACAAATTATCGTAGTGATATGTCTGACTTCCTTTGAGTGATTTTTCTACGAGATGTTTTTTAATCAATTTTTAATCCGGCACTGCACTTAGTTACACACTCAACCGTTAAATTATGTCCAAAAAGGACCTTCTAGAATCTAGATCAATCAACGAAATACAGTAAATTCTCCACAAGTGTCAGTCCGCAAGGAACCTAAACCTGACACTTGTAGAGTCAGGGACTACGTTTTCGAGCCTCGCGCCCGCCTTTGTAGTTTGCCGAACGTAGACAAGGACAGCGAATAAAAGATAAGGATGAAACGTGAGTCGAGGCAACCAAGCGATTTAAATACCAACTTTTTTAATTTTACGTTTTTTATCCCGAAATTTTTCTTAACATATTGATGAGATTTTTCTGATGAAAATGACATCAAACACGACATAATTCGAACAACATTTACTTATTAACACGTTCACTGTCACGCCAGACAAAAAAAAATTTCAGATGAAAAAAAGGAAAATTAAAGAAATTATATTTTTCTATTATGAATTGTCGAGCCGTGAAATCTCGTAAAAGAAACCGAGTGGTGTAGCGTTACACGCTTGACTGACAGCGAGCGAGATAACGTAGGCGTAGGACCATCTATACTGACACTTGTAGAATCCAAACTGTCTGACACTTGTGGAGAATTTACTGTACTGTCATTTACAAATGCACACTTTACAGCGAATTGAACAAATCAAATAGAATTAGCGTAAGAATACTCGAACTCTCGTGGCGAATGCGAAATTTCCTTTCACGTGACACCGCTCTAATTCTTCGGAGCGTTTTACGAAGGACAAGTTCGAGGTCGATTAAGATCGACTCACGGTCGAATCCACGAGCGGAATACCGAATCATTTCTTCCTTTCTTCTCTCGCTGAACACGAAACACACGTGCGAATAAAATTGAAATACGTTACCTTCAGCTCGCCGGTCCTTCCAGCTGGACTGTTCGGCAACACGTTCTTTATGAATATTCCGGATATGTTCTGCGACTTACTGGAGCTGCCATTGTGCAGATCGACCTGCAATAAACGTTTCAATAACCGAAAAAATATATAAAATGGAAAATAAACAATTCTTAGATAAAAAAAGAACGTTGGATTGTGAAATTTAATATAATTTATATTAAGCGAGAGTTTAGTTGATTTTTCAAGCACAGTATTGTTCCAATATTTTACTCTTTCAAACCTCTCTTTATCGATGTATACTGGCTTTTATTATTAAAACTACTTAAGACTGTACGAGAGTTCCACTTCTTCGAGAAATTTTATATGACTTTTGGTAAGTTCAAATTCAAGAAAGACGTAAAGTAAATAATTCTTTAAATATTTCCCCTAGAGAAAGGAATGAAGATAAAATTTTTATTTCACGGAATTTCGTAGGAAGCGGATTATTATTAGAATAATTCTAGTCTAGACTATTTTGAAGAAAGAAATTATATTACAGCAACCTCTTTCTCAAAGAAATGGCCTTGAACTGTCAAAGTTTTCATTATAGTAAGAAGTTTGCGTTTTGTCACACGCTTATAAGACCCTCCATTCAGCTAAAGTCAAGCCTTTATCATGTCAGCATGAAAAAAGAATTCTCTAGGTCAATGACCGACAGAGTCCATTCTCTAAAATTATCCCGGAAGCATAATTGATATTGCGCAATATCTGCTTCCTGGAACAACAGAATTTAAATATTTATCTTCAGACTCGTTGTAACATCAAATGAAAATTTTCCGAGTTTTCCTCGAAGCGTAGTTAAAATCGAATGAAATATTTTATTTGAACAA